GAGAGAAAATTTCATCCTTTCCTTACTCAGGGACATCTTTGTTACTGTGATACAGTCATACACCCTCCAACCCAATGAAAATGATTTATTGAGCACATTGTGGTACTGGGCCCTGGGTCCTGTCTCGGTAAAGGGATACTATAAAAAATAAAGGAATATTATTTTTTCACACAGGATTTAACAATTTAGAAAGGAGACAAATTCCTCTCAGAATTAAGATGTGTCACATATAGTGTACCAACTCATGATGAATATAATCATTATTCACTGCAAACATGCACTAATAAAAATTTTTAAGTTATTTTAAAAAGATGAATAAAACATGCTCTACCCCTTAAAAAAAATAAGGTGTCTCATTGAGTTCAATCCTGCCTTTTTTTTTTTTTTTTTTTAAATGGCTTTTTGAGACAGGGTCTCACTATGTCGTTGAGACTGATCTGGAACTCACTGTGTAGGCCAGGCTGGTCTCTAACTCACAGTACTCCTTCCTCCTGCCTCAGCCTCCTGAGTGGTGGGATTGCAGGCGTGTGCCACCAAGCCTGGCCTGCCAATCCTGCCTCATTTAAAGGCAAGAAGCCATACCTCTGAGGAGAAGGAAAACTTACAACAAATAAAGCACCTTTCTATGCAAAACCTGAGCAACCTGGAACCAGACCTCAGCTCGAGTTTTGGTTCCTCAACTCCTAAACAGGGTGTTTTGAATAATTTTCCCAAGCTTCACTTCCCCACGAACTGGAGAAAGCAATTCCTCCTGGCTCCCTACCAGAGCTGAATCTTAAACATGATGATGTAAAGAAAAAAATTTTAGGCTGGGGATTTAGCTACTGCCCGCCTTGCAAGCGCAAGGGTGGGCCTGAGTTCGATCCCCGGTAGCAAAAAAAAAAAAAAAAAAAAAAAAAAAAAAAAAAAAAATTGTATAATATCCCCAGGTCCCAAGGACTAGATCAACAGTGACTCTGATGGCCTGGGACAGAGGCAATAGATGGGACCTAAAAGGGGCAGGGAGAGGTGTGTCAACCGATCTCGCGGAGACCAAACCTTTTAACGGAATACAGAGAAGAAACACAGTTGTCCCCTACCCCACAAAAACAACATTTAGCTTCTATTTGTCATTGTTGGTGCATCTGCGTGGGCGTACTAGGCAAAGGGAATGACAATAAAGCAGCTCGTTCAGGGCACCTGTACTGTGCGACCTTGGGCTCGCTTTCCTTCTTCCCGTTTCAGTTTTCTCTCTTAAGGAATGAGAATCAAACTTCTTAATTATTCCCCCAGTTTTTGTGAGCATCCAACTGAAACGTAGGTGAAAGCGTCCTTGGAGCGGTAGAGCGCCTTGCAAACACAGCCGATGCGGTAATTTTCCCCGCAACGACCGGGAGTCCATTTGCCTTGCCATTCCCCTTTCTTCTCGACTTTTATTAACTATAATTTACAATCACAGAAGTAATTGAAGTCCTATAACAGTTAATGGCATCAACTCTCAGGCCCCACCCAGATACACTTCACCACGCCGGCTCTCCCACCTTCCCCAGCCACTGGAGCACGCTCACCTTCCGGCCCCGCCCCTCGAGTCCAGGCCAATCCCCACAGCCCGCGAGACTGCCCCGCCCCCTACGCGAGGACACATCGTGGCGGAAGGAAGAACTACAGGTGAGCAAACCAATAATTGCAGAGCGCTGCCCGCATCACCCACAGCCCGCGAGACTGCCCCGCCCCCTACGCGAGGACACATCGTGGCGGAAGGAAGAACTACAGGTGAGCAAACCAATAATTGCAGAGCGCTGCCCGCATCCGGCAAGGCCCAGAGGCGGGGTCGTCGGACAAGATGGGCGGCTGGAGCAGCCAATGGACTGATTGGAAACCGGGAAGGGGGCGGGCGCCAGGCTCAAACAGAGCGGTTAAGGCCCCTCGAGCCAAGGGCCTAAGGACCCTGCTCAGACTAAAGCAGTCCCCTTTATCCACCCTAAAATTCGCCACCTCAAGGTTGCTGGTCGTCCGCCCCGCCTGAAGACTGTGGATGGGGAAAGGAGGGAGGCGGCGGTAGCTGAACCTGACTGACAGGCCGGGCCAGTGACAAAGAGCTGGCCGCCCCGGGTGAAACCTGGGAAGCCATCCTTTCTGAGAGGACGGCACAAATCCCTTAGAGATAGAAAAGACACAACTCACGTTGTCGATCACAACAGGCTGGTTGGCGATCACGTCGTAGGACTCCATGGCAGAGGAATCGCTCCTTCCGAGGAAGGCACAGTCAGCCCGGTCCGCTGCTAAAACCACAGACACGCATGCGCAGTCCAGCCGCCGGTGCAGGGTGTCCAGGGAGCGGCCCTACCTCGCCACGGAGGAACTACCATCCCCAGCATGCCTTGCGCCAGAGCTAGCGCTCCAGCCGGCTACTGGGCCCCGCCTTCTTCAAGAGATTTCAGGAAGTATTTCCGAGGCACAGTTCCGTGGGATTTGTAGTCTCCGCAGAATAAATAGCCGAGACAAAAATTGATGATTGTGTTGCATGCTAGAATACGCAGTCCCTTTGAAGGGGTTCGCAATGCATGCTGAGCCATGTAGTTTTGAGTGTGTGTAGTTGGGTTTGGATTGGACAGTAATTGGAGAGCGTTTTAGATTTTATAAATTAGTCCTGCCACTCCCCACTTCTCTTGGGACAAGGTTTTTTTTGTTTGTTTGTATTTTTTGGTAGTGGGGCTCAAACTCGGGACCTTCCACTTGTGAGGCAGACGGCGGAACCAAGTTAAATCGCCGGCCCTCTTGGGACAACTTTTATTTGGGTCTGTAAGACATAAGTAAACATCTACCACTTCACAATCTAACAGGAAATTTTAACACACACATAAAGGAAGGATTTATTCCCAAAACAAAAATAATTTAACTTGCATAAATTTAGCTTTAAACAACCTGTACATTGTCATTCCTTTTCCTATTTTTTTGGATAGGTATAAACTTTGCATCAAGTGAGCACTAAGAATTGGCATTTGGAATATCAACTGAGGGTTTTAGGAATTCCTGCAATACCTCCATTAATATTAATGAGGAGCTAGGATTGATTTTGATGAGAAAATAGGGGTGAAGAGAAGTTACAAAAAAAAAAAGGGCCGAGGATTTGGCAAAAAAGTTATGAGTAAATCTTTCAAAAGACTTCATGCTCTTAGGGAGGAGGATGGTTATTTCCTTCCCAACCTCCTTTAAAGTTACAAGGACCTTTAGTCAACAGCACTAGGAAATACTGTATTGATTTATAATACCTAATGCCAAAGGAACGAATGATCAATATGTTGTCCGATTTGTGTTTAAGTCGTTGTCAACAGCATGTCAGCAAAACAGTGACAAGCTCTTTGTCCGCGCTCTTCGTGGTACCCTAGCACCTCAGACGGGTGCCTTCACTCTGTTCACACCCGGGTTCCTCCTAACGCTAGGGGGAGATCAAGAGCCTTGGGTTACTCCCCAGGCGAGGAAAGGTAGGCGGGGCCTATTATCGAGTCACGCCTTCCCAGCTGTGACTGACAAATATTCTAGCCAATGAGTACTGCACATGGCGCGCCTGCGCCCCGCCCCCTCACGCTCCCCGCGGTAGGGAGGCGAGCCCTG